GATAGACAGGAGGCCCAACATCCCAGTGCTTGTTGCCTGGCTGACACGTCTCACACTCCAAAGTGCTTCTCCAAGCGCTTTTCACCCCTCAGTCATTAACCTTCTATTAACTCCTCCATCAATTGCCACTCACTCTTACTCGCACTTTCTCTGATTTTTCTCCTCCTCGCTCATTCACTTGGTCACACTTACACACAGATTTTCAGTGGGTGTGTTTTTCCCCCTGCTAACGGAAAAAACTCCAGGAGGAGATTGTGTGTTGTTTGCCTGCACAGGTCGTAGCCTTGTTCTGCACTCGTGTGCTTCTTGTTGAAAAAATATAATTAGTGTCGCTCAGTGGAATTTCACACTTTTTGCTTTATTTATACTTTTTTCTGCGGTTGTTTTTGTAAAATAGCATTTATATTTAGCTTTATTTTTTTTACCAATATGCTGCAGACTTCCTCTACTTTGTAACAGTTTTTTCTCTGTCTAGCTGCCTCATCCTTCATCTTCTTTTGTGTTTGTTTTGTTTCCCAGGAATGTGCGGGTGAGCCTCTCTTCATGCTGTACTGTGCCATGAAGCAGCAAATGGAGAAGGGGCCAATAGATGCGATCACAGGAGAAGCTCGTTATTCCCTCAGTGAGGATAAACTCATCAGACAACAAATTGACTACAAGACATTGGTCAGTGCTTTTTAACACGTGTAAACTTGTTCTCTTAAATGTATAAAACACACAACAGATTTATTTATGCTGCAATATGTACTCTTAGAAAGTTTTACTACTTGCTTTAAAATATTAGTTATGTTTACATGGACAAAAGTAATCGGATTAAACGGCCGTTCGGAATAAAAATGCGTCATGTAAACAGCACGTTCCGATTATTCTGATCCGATTGAGCTCGATCCCWATGAATTTTTAATCCGAATGAAAAGGGTGGGTTATGCCGATTGATAATCAGAATGACGTGCATGTAAACACTTAATCAGATCATCCTATTCTGATTGTAGAAAACTGACCTGTGTGCGCATGTCTGCTGACTTTCACTCACCTGGTTAGAGGAGGTGGGACAGCAGTGCTCCAGCTGCGCTGCACCGCACAGAACTTTTCCTCCTCGCTCTCTTAACAGATGAAAAAGGAGACAAACAGCAGACGTTGCTTRGCAAAAAAAAAAAAGCACGTATTGCTTCATCTGCAGGCTGCAGCTCAACCAAGGAGATGAGTAACGACATCTCTACCGTTATTAAAAGCTGACACGGGTCCATCCTGAGCTCACAGAGGAGCTTTGTTTACGTTTCTAACACGGAAATAGAGCTGACAGTTTACAACATTGCGCATGCATGTTGCTTGTAAACACTTTTCATGATCGGATTGTGTCCATGTAAACAGTAAATTCGGATTATTTAATCCGAATACATTTCAATCCTATCAAAAATTTTTGTGCATGTAAACATAGCTAATGTCTGTTCAAAACCAGCTGCCTCGTTTTCTGTTATTGTTATTCCTGGCTTGGTTTTGTCTTATACTTCCATACCTTCTGTTTCTGCAGACGCTGCACTGTGTGAACCCAGAGAATGAAAATGCTTCAGAGGTGACGGTGAAGAGCCTGAACTGTGACACAGTGACACAGGTGAAGGAGAAGCTGCTGGATGCTGTGTACAAAGGGACACCATACTCCCAGAGACCAAAGGCCTCGGATATGGATCTGGGTGAGAAGTGTTTGTTTGTGTGTGACGCAGACATACAAGGCAATAAAAGAATCATTTTAAGTGCTCTGTAACCCGGAGGAGATCCTCCAGACAAGTAAAGCGGTTTCTCACCAAGGAAAAAGTTAATTCAAGAAGTTTGCAAAAGTCTWAAATTATCCACTTTTTTCCCTCCAAATTTCATTCTGCATAAATCACAGCAACCTAATTTGGGGTTTAGAGGTGGGAATTCTGGTGCACAAGCTAGAAGCACATCAGGATCTTTCTGTGTAATTTARATCCTGTTAACCTCAAACAAACTTGCTTATAAGTGATATTGAATAAATGTGTTTGTGTGACAGAATGGCGGCAAGGCAGGATGGCCCGGATCATCCTTCAGGATGAGGACGTCACCACTAAGATTGATAATGACTGGAAGAGACTCAACACTCTAGCTCACTACCAGGTACCCAGCTGCTGTAATCCAAGTGCATTGTGGGTCGTTGTAACATACAGTATATGCTAATATTTATTCTAAGCTGCGTAAAAATGTCTGTTTAACCACAGAAAATTTRAAACTGATTGAGTTTAGGGTTGTTATATTTTGATATTATTTGACACTAAAACCTTACCTTACTAAAACCTGAAGTTATTTTTTTCATAATAATAATAAACTGGATAGGTTTTTTTAATGTATGCCTATTATTTTACCTTTTTTTCTCCGGGACTATTAACAAGGTTATGAAGTATTGCATGTTTTTCTTTAGTATCTGAACAGAGTTTAAAATTTTAGTATGTTGATGACCTCCATAGAACTTTAATTGTGATTGTGAACCTTGTGATGATTACAACTTTGAAATCTGTTCTCAGGTGACTGATGGCTCACTGATCGCCTTGGTGCCTAAACAAAACTCCGCCTACAACATCTCCAACTCCTCCACATTCACCAAGTCCCTCAGCAGATACGGTACGAGAGAAGGTGTGTGTGCGTGTTAAGTGTGTGTGTACGTCTGTGCATAATATGTGTAAGTGTGAACCCATTTCATACTGTGCAAAGGAGAATTTTTAAACTTTTCATTTATATATTTTTTTTGTCTGTCATTTGTCAGATGTATTGTTTTCTACTGTTTTACACATTTAAGCTTCACGTTTTTGTTTGTTTTTTGGCCTTCATGATGACTAAAGTTTAAAATTATTTCCTTTTTTTTGTCTCTAAAGTGTCTAAAGGTCTTGACACATTATTACAGAATAAACAGCTTGTTATTCTCACATATACTAGGAAAGCATTTCAATCTGTGTCACATCCAGTCTCTGATGCTGTCAGCTCCATTTTTATTCCTACTTCTGATTTAAGCTCATTTAGTCTCAATCACTTTTCTTCACCCTTCCCTGTCCTACTTCCAGGTGGGTCTAGTGCTGCTCAGAACCTCCCTCTCAGCACAGAAAGAAAAACTCATACACACTTTTTATCACATTAACTTCTCCGGTCCAGTCTTTTTTCTTTTTTTTTCCCCTCCTGACATTTTGAACCTCTCAACCCTTTCCAGCTCTGTCACCCAGGTGACAAGCATTCAAACTGAAAMCATAATGCTCGCTGTCACAAATAGGGGATCATTGTCCAGCAAAGCAAGCGAAGTTGGGGGGTGGAGGGGTTAGAGGGGGAGACTGACAGACAATTTTATTCTGGAGTGACACGACTGTCACCTTTCAGAAAGCTTTTTAACTTCACAGGGAGATTTTTACTCTCTGCTGCAGGGTCGAGTTATTTGTTCATTTTCTGCCAAAACCTGATTTTGTTGTCATGAATTGTGACTGAATCTAACATTATTAACAAATGGGTGACAGAAACATGTGGGGTCCTTTCAGTCTGCAGTCAGACACCTTGTGATTCATAATCTATTCTACCAGGAAATTCTTAAAGTGACTGAACTGACTTCTTATTCTTAAAGGGATCCATGATTAGTTGTAACATTAGACTTTATTTAATAAACATATATTTTAACTGTAAAATAAAGACTGTAAAAATGCTGAAGGATGTTCAGTTTTTATCCGTTTTAAACTAAAAGTTTAAAAAATACATTACACGGACGGGGCCATTTTATTTACACGCAAAGCATTCTGGGTAATTGATGACATGGATAGGTCCTCGGTGCGAGGCTGCTAGCGAGCTATATTCACCCRGAAGGTTAATCTTGGACAATATCTGACGTTTGGCTCTTTTAAATGAAACCAGAGAGCGTTGACAGAGAGGAGAAGGTAGAAATGACTTAGTCTGTAACTGAAAATATGGATGGAGGACCTCAGTTTAGCTTGTTTGTCATGCTAGCGCTGAGCTAATACATATAAGGCAATATAGCATCAGCACTAGCGCGAAGGCTAACAGGCTAAGCTGAGATTCTTCTTCCAGGAAACAGCTCTGTTGTCCTCGCTCACACCGAGAACCTATCCTCGTCATCATTTACCCAGAATGCTTTGTGTGTAAATAAAATGGCTCCGTCCGTGTTAAAATATATTTTAAAAAATTTACAAAACTAAACAGCCTACAGCATCTTTACAGTCTTTATTTTATAGTTAAAATATGTTTATCAAATGAAGTCTAATGTTACAACTAATTGTGGATCCCTTTAAATGCCTAAATAAAATATAAAAGTAATTCAACAAACTATGTTTTTTCATATTTGTGCTTATGAGCCTTTCACTGGATTCCTTTAAATGTGGACAGAGAGCATGCTGAAGGCCAGCAGTCCAGACAGCCTGCGCTCCCGAACGCCTATGATCACCCCTGATCTGGAGAGCGGCACCAAGCTGTGGCATCTGGTGAAGAACCACGACCACTCAGACCAGAGGGAGGGGGACAGAGGGAGTAAGATGGTCTCTGAGATCTACCTGACCAGACTGCTGGCCACGAAGGTAATGAGAACCAAATCCCACCCCTCTCTACACACCTCAACCAAAATGTTGTCATGTAGTCTATTTAAAGCTGCAGTCTCTGTTGACCTTTGTTTGGTGGTGGTCTCAGGACTCATTAACATTTTTCCTAACCTTTTGCACAAAGAAACACATATGCACAGTCTTAATTAGGAGGCTGACCTTTGACTATTGAGTTGTTAGGTTGGTGTTATTGGGCCCTCTGTTGGCAGCCTCTGAGCTTTTACATTCAGGCTCAGTCATTACAGTATTGTTCTGCAAACTGCTCAGGTTCTCATGCAGCGCATGTCTTCAGATGATAATCAGCTTCTAAAGCAGACTCAGGCTACCAGTGTTCAACCAGCATGAATCAGWGTGTGACAGAGTTCCCATCACTTATGTGCACACACAAAAAAATGACAAGTTGAAAGTGTGAAAAGYCCTGGAGATTTCTTTTCCCTCAACATTTCCCCCCACACTTCATTAAACACAAATCTAAAACAAACACACATTCCCTTCAGCGTCTGCTCATTTACAACCAACTGAAAGTATCTGACCATACTCGTGCACGCACAAACAAATCGTTTGTCCTAATAATTCACGACACTGCCAGGCTTTTTGCTTTCATTTGCCATCGCCCTCCCTGCTCTGATGTTTGACTCATTAGCTCAGGATTTTTATTGTTTCAGCTCCAGGTAGGAAAGTATGAGTTTAGCGGCATCACCTCTGCCTCGGCTCGGAAATGATTAACATGGCAGCTAGAGGAAAACAACAGGGGGAAAGTTAAAGCTCTGCTGCTTGCTCCTGCTTATTACATCCCCCACAGCTTTGTGTGTTTAGGAAACTGATTTGTTAACAGGCACGAGTACAAAACCTCCGGTTTCTGACTGGTTTAGATGAAGTTTTGTAAAATGGTGGCGTGGTTGCTTGAAGATGGAGAAGTGTGCTGTGGGAAATATCGAATCAGTTCAACTTCAGAAGAGTTCGGGAGGATTCTGACTCTGCGGAGTTGTGCGATGTGGGTTAAAAAAAACACACACAAAAAAACATGACAGAACAGCCTTAGGCTGAACTCCCATCGAGCCCCATCCCAAACACTGCGAGTCTGTCTAAAGGCTCTGCGTCATCACAAAGTCTGAGGAAGGTGAAGCACTGCAGGTAAAGCTTCTGATAAAGCTCCTGCTGACAAACATCACCCCCAGTCACACCATGAGCCCCATGAGGAGGACAGGTGCAGGTTCAGTGCTCTGCCTGCTGTTTAAACCTGGGTGCTTATTGTTTGAGCTCTAATGACTTAGCCATGTTGACACAGCTCCAACAAACAGGAAGAGCTCACACACTGGTAACACACTGCCTGGTTTTTGTGTTCAGGGCACGCTGCAGAAGTTTGTGGACGACTTGTTTGAAACCATCTTCAGCACAGCGCACCGGGGCAGCGCCCTGCCGCTCGCCATCAAGTACATGTTTGACTTCTTGGATGAGCAGGCAGACAAACACTCAATAACAGACCCAGATGTCAGGCACACTTGGAAGAGTAACTGGTGAGTGTGTGTTTGCTGTGAAGATGCACCGGGGGGAAAAGTTTGATTGTTTTTTGTTGTTCTCTTTGTGCAGCAGCACAAAAGAAAGTCAGATTTTCTTTGCAGTGATCTTTGAACCGMTTCCTCTAACCCTGCCTCTCCTGCCTCCTTTGTTGCTTTCTGTTGTTTTTCCTAGTCTTCCACTGAGGTTCTGGGTGAATGTGATTAAGAACCCCCAGTTTGTCTTTGACATCCACAAGAACAGCATCACAGACGCCTGCTTGTCTGTGGTGGCTCAGACCTTCATGGACTCGTGTTCAACATCAGAGCACAAACTGGGGAAGGACTCGCCTTCCAACAAGCTGCTGTATGCTAAAGACATCCCAAACTACAAGAACTGGGTAGAAAGGTGGGTCAGCACACAGGGTTAGTTTGGCTTTGTTCTTATTTCTGCAGACATTTGGAAACATAAAGCCCTGTTTGTGTTCATGCAGGTACTATGCTGACATCTCCAGGATGCCTGCCATCAGTGACCAGGACATGAGTGCCTACCTTGCAGAGCAGTCCCGCCTTCACGCCAACCAGTTCAACAGCATGTCTGCTCTACATGAGATCTACTCTTATATTGTCAAATACAAGGACGAGGTCAGATTTCAGACTCTTTTTGATCTTTTTATAGAAGTAGTGTAGTTGTTATAATTGCCTTTTTATGCCATATTGATTATTAATGGCTTGATTTAACAAAGCAAGAACAGCTTTTATTATAATGTATGTTTTAGTATTCACTGCCAACTGTTTATTAAAGTAATATCATAAAGACTTGATTTATGGTTGTTTATCATCAGAATCAGTGCAGGAAATAAACCATAAATAGTTGCAATTTACAGAAGTGCAGTCATTTTATGTGTAAGTCTAAGTGTTGAACAGTGGGCTTCAGTGTTTTTTTTTCTAAACTTTAAGTTTTTTCTGTAAGTTTTGACATCTTTCTAATTCTATCAGACAATCATATTGGTCCACTGAGTGTTTATTAATCAGAAGAACTGATTGAGCTTTAYTGTTTGTGYGAATTACAAAACCAGCAAAGAGATRTCWTCTTCCTCCTCCATCATATTAGAAAGAAGGTGTTGATATTCTGAAAGCATCAGCTGAAACCCCCCACCCCTCTATTTCCAGATCCTGTCAGCTTTGGAGCGGGACGAGCAGGCAAGGAGACAGAGACTGAGGAGCAAGTTGGAGCAGGTCATCGACACAATGGCCCTGACCAGCTGAGGACCATACACCTCCTCCTCTTCCTCCTCCTCCTCCTCACTTCTCCTCTCCATCTGTTGCTCTCTTCTCTCCTCGCTCCTTCTCACCCAGACAACAAACAGAAAGTCCCAGCCGCCAGCAGTACGAGCTGCAAACGGACCGCAGCAGTAAACGGCAGCGTGTGCGGGGAGGTCCGGCGGAGATGGGCGGGACCCGTGTACGCTTACATGTGTATGTTTGTGTTTGTCTGCAGCCCCGTGCCGTGTGTGTGTGGGCTCGTGTCTGTGTGAGAGACTGAGATCAGCGGACGCCTTCACACACGCACACATGGAGAACAAGTCGATGGACAGCATTTAATTATCGTGGATGTTGGTGTTTGTGGTTTGTTTGATTTTGATTTCTGAAGTTTTGTCATTATGACGCTGATGATGATGATGGTGGTCAGGAAAGAATCAACAGGAGCTCAGAAAGGAACTCCATATATGGCATCATTAGCAGAATGGACCAATCTGTCGCGAGCCAACAGAGAGAGGCTCTGTAGGTCATGTGACTCCCAACAGTTGTCACAGTTTTAAAACTTTCTTTTGTATAAATGTAATCAACTGCCCACTCTCTGATCTCTCGCCACTTGTATTACTGCTGAATTTGCACAATTTACAGAAACGTTACAAAGCGAGACTATATAGATATTATATATAAATACAGCAAAGTTTTTAATAAAAAGACTAGGGGAGAAACATTTCTGTTGTTTTCTATTTCATTTAAACCAACAAACACAATAGAAAAAAAACAATGCAGCAAAAACCAGATTTGTTCTTTCAAGTACAAAAAGAAAAATAGGCAGAAAAAAAGGAGCGAAAAATAAAAAAATTTGTAACTGTGCCATGTTTTCTTTGAATGTTGTTTAGTGCAAAGACTTTTTGTTCGATGGAATGTGCTACTGTCTGATTCTTTAAAGAAGAAAAAAAAAACTGAACATGCCTAGTGACTGAAAGGACTAGTTCGAGTGACGCCCCCCCCTCATCACGGTGAGCAGGACGGGTCAGGGTGTCCCGCTGATGACATCAAAATGCTGTTTTAGTCAATCAGTGCAATCTGTTGGTTCCATAAAAGCCAAATATGACACGATTGTTGCTTTATCGTCGACACGTTGGTTTCRGACTCATCGGCTGCTGCTTTTCTGTTTCCTCAAGAAGCTCCAGCTGACTGGATCAGGATGTAGAGACTGAACAATGAAGTAGCTACATTGCACTACCTGAAATCTTTTCTTTTTCCCCAAATGCCTGGTATCTAATCATTAGCTTTTCACCCACCGTGCTTTTCTGTTTTTGTAGAATCATTGATTTTGCAAAAAAAAAAAAAATACCCTGCAAGAGCACAGCCAGTTTTTGCTTCTTGCATTCCTTTWTTATAGAAAAGTAAATCAGAAAAGCCGTTTCCAGCCTCCAGCCACAGTTCTTTAACATTTTCTCAATGTTAATACCCAAATAAAGAGGCAGGAAAAAGATACGCCGAGTGTTTTCTTTCCACCTCTGACCTATAAATTTGAGACGTAGGTTTGAGCTTTTCATCCACACAGAGGTTACGGAGCGATAGCGAGACGCGACGCCTCTGTTCATTAGCGTCTGCAGCTCTGAGTAATCCTCCTCTCGGCCCGCAGCTCTTTGTTTTCAAACTAGCCACGTTTGGCTTAAGCTTTTTTTCTTCTGTTACTGCTCTCTTAAGAGGATTTCTTTTTGTTTCTTTTTTTGTTGAAGTCTTGACGTCACTCTATTTGACCTTGTGCTGAGAAACCGTTTCGTTTTATTTGCTTGCCGAAAACCAAACTGTGGTCTATGTTTTTGTTGTTTCATTTGTATATTGTAGATTTTTTATCATAATGAACAAAAATGTGTTTTTCCCCTATTTTATTATTTGTATTTTTTTATTTTTTTTTGTTTTGTTTTAGCACCACCCCTTCCCCAAATGTAAATTGTACATTTTTACGGTACATGGAAGAGAATATTCCCTTCAGCTTGCCTGAAGTTGAAGTACTTGACCGAACTCGAGGTTTTTATTGTTTTCCCTGATCTGAAGGACCAGAGAGAAAAAAGTTGTTTTTATCGGATCAGATGAGCGTCTGTGTCGTCGTGATGGAAATGTGACTTGCTGCTTTAACTCCTGTATCTTGTCTTTTTTTTTTTTTTTTTAGTTTTTCTTTGAATCAAACATTAGGGCTGTCATTTAAAGCTGAATATTCATGCTGTCGCTCTTTTTGCCACACGTCTGAGACGTGATGTGGCTCTTACAGCTCCGTGCATATCAACTGGAAACTTCTTACAACTCTACAGTTTTAACTCTACCTGACCATGCAATAATTATTTCTCTTTTTTRAGATGTTGCATAATTTTTGTTTGAAAAATCTCCTAAATGCTCACTGACTTTTCTTTACATTATCAATTTAGTTTTGACATTTTTGATGGATTTTTTTATACGTATTTATCCTGGTTGATGAAAAGCCACCTCAGAGGTCATCCTCCTTTTATCATTTTCATGCTTACTTGCCTTTTTAGATTGACCTGCTTTGCAAGTCTAAACATATTTTCAGAGGACCTTATCATCCTTCATTTAGCATCGGTTTGAATAACTGSTGACTTGTATTTATTGGTACTAAAACAAAAGAATGTTCTTTGTCTAAAAGCATTTATGTCCTTTAAAGCAGCCATCATCAGCTGCTGATTTACAACTCGTCCTCAGAACAACAGGCTCACTGTTTGTGTTTCCGGGTTTTCTGCTGTTTTCAGTCGCATCAAAACGAATGAACAAGTTGAGTTTTGGTGGATTCAGCACATAATTATGTTTACTTCTTTCCTCTGTAGTCAGTTTTGGCTTTTGAAACCAACGCTGAATCACAAAGGCCTGGCATCATTCTGCTTCTGGATGTTCTTACTGCATTCCTCTAAATCTAGAGGATTTTTATTGGGTTTTTTTTGTTTTGTTTGTTTCCAGAATCAAAGTTACACAGAGTACTTCAAAAACACAAAACAGAATCTAATATTATTGGCAAGAGGATTTTAGTACAGAAAAAAAAACTGCTACGTTTTTAGAGTTTCAGACTTGAAGGGACTGTCACAAGTTTGCAGGTTAACATTCATTCTGTAAATATTCTGTTATTTCCTATTTTGCAGATTTACTACTTGTAAATAAACATGCATCAAGGAGAGATTAAACATTTTTTGCTAGAAAAGAAACGTGTCTTGGACTTTTTTTGTTTTTGTTTACAGATAAAAGTTCTGTAAAATCACTTTCTTTTTTATTCAGTGATGGAGCCGAATACTCAGTCCCAAGTCAAATCAGCGTTAACCTGTGTTTTTATTTATTTATTTATTTAATCTATCTATTTATTTGGAAGATACATTTTATCAATCTGGGAAACTTCAATAAATTAGACTGGTTTACAAACCCAACAAATAAAAAAGTTGGGATGTTTAAACTAAATATAAAACAAAAGGATTCACAAAACTTATGAACTTGTTTTTATTTACACTGAAGCATAGTTAAKAGTTTTGTTTAAACTGACAAATTGGGCAATTTTCAAGAAGAAAAAGGTACATTTTAATCGGTGCATCTTTAAAAMTGACCATGTTTACTTCTGTGAAGCATCTCTGCTTTTACAGCCTGTAAACTTCCAGAGCCTCAGGAGACCAGAATGTTGTCCTATTTTTGTCTTGTTGTTGTTTACATTTTACAGAACCTTCCACCATTGTTTTAATTGGGGTTATACATCAGTACAAACTTGTAGGTGAGTTACACTGAAGTAAGGAGAAATCTTATCAGGAAGTTTCACTGTAAAAACTGTTCACATCAAATTAAAGCTTTATAACAGAGCTATTCAACTGGTAGCCCATGGGCCGGATGTGACCTGCAAGTGACCAAAGTCCGGCCCACCAATTGGTTCATTCATCTCTTAAGCCCAAACCCCTGGTTTTCTACTTTTATTCTACTTTTATTACTATAAGTTCTTTCAGTTAGACATAGGCATGTTTGATCTACAGAAACGTCAGAATTGGTTTWAAAATTTGGCAAGTCAGAGATATTAAAATAAGCTTTGTAAATAAACGAGGCCTAATGTGTTATTTTTGTTTTTGATATTTTGTTATCACTTTTATTACATAGGGTTCTGTGTGTTGTTTTCATGATTAAATGCAGCAAAATAAACTATTTTAAAGGTAACAGATCTTTGTAATACTTGGTCTATTTCCATGACTTTAATTGCTTGATGTTCGGCCCCTGAGCTGTTGGCCTGCAGTAACTGTGGCCCCCAGAGCAATTTAGTTGAATAGKCCTGCTGTAGATGTTATAAAATGGAAAAATAACGTCAACTTTCTGATCTAATAAAAGTTTAGTTTTTGGCCTACAGGTTCAGTAAAGACGCTGTGTGATAACTGCGTTCACAGTTTAATTCAAGTGTTGACTTTAAGATTCAGAAGTAAACAACCTTTTACAAAGCAAACCTTATTTAAACTTTTTGTAACTTTTTAAAAATCTGCTTCATTTCTTCCATTACTAAAACTGACATTTGTGWGGATTTATTTCACCTGCGGGAGCAAAGTAACCCAGAGACATTTACGTTMCTCTGAAATGCAAAAAGGTTTGTAAGAAAAATCACTCCCAGTTCTGAACCTGATGTTTGTCAAACTGAATGCATTTCATGGAGAGTCCACCATTTGGCTCGATGCAACATGTTTGTCAGATTWGTTTTTAGTCAGACAGTTTATGGTTTGAATTTGTTTACTTGAATTTATTTGTTGTTTGGATGCATTTGTGCCATGATCAAACATTTGAAACTCTGAAAACCTTAATAAAAAGGACTGCTCCAATACATATTCGGCCCGTGCAACAATTTGAGCTTCCTAATGGACTGTGTCATTCATTATGCCATAATTAAAGAGGCAAATGTTCAGTGAAAAGAAACCCTCTTGTCAGAGTGCAGCATGATCCTTTCCCTCCTCAGTCTCCTTCCCTTTCAGAACACGATCAGCATCATTAATCTTTTTTTTTTTTTTACCAAAACGTGCACGAAAGGCTGTCGGGGGTTTGTTCTCCGGCAGAGTTAATACTAACACATTTACCTCCTAACCATACATCATGCTTGTGCTGCCCTCAGCTTACATGGGCACTTGCATGGAAGAGTGGTTCTGTGTGTGAGGAGCACAGTGTCAGTCGGCTCAGACGGACCAGGCTGCTGATCCTAATGGCAGGTATTGTTGCTGAACAAGAAGCTACGATCTAAAGGGAGAAAGAAGAAATCACAGGAATACACCACCTTGTTCCGTTTTTTATTCCCCCTCTTTTCTATGGCCTGCTTTGAAACGTCAGCACTTCCTCTCTCTCTCTCTCATCCCAGCAGATTCAATGAGGCCAAATAGACAGAAAACGTTATCGTTCACACCATGTGRAACCAGCCAGCCTAATTCAATTAAATTTCCATCCAAGGAAGAACGCTGAAATTGTGTAATGGTCGTGGGAGCGCTGAATCTCGTAATGATCCTGTCAAGAGGCAAATGATCTCGCAGCTCCAACATTATGATAAATTCCTTTGCAAAAGCACAAGATGCTCATTGCACCCACCCACCCGCCACCCTACTTCTTCTTGCGTGCAAAATTCTGTTGCCGTACTTAATAAAGCCGTGATCTATATTTGCTCCCTTTTTTAAAATCTTGTTTAGTCACAAATGAAGAGAGCTCTCTGTTTTATCGCATTCGGTGAAATTGAAATTTGATTTGAACCGAGGCAGTCTTCTGATGACTGTCAGTGTGCATTACGTCAAGTGTTTGGTGGAACCGGAACCCGCCAATGAGTGGCAGCAGTATCCAAAGGGCCGCTTAAATCTGCTGAACGG